CGCCGCGCCCAGCCGCTGGCCCCTGGCGTCGCGGGCAGGGGTCTCTGCACTCGGGGCCGGTGAGAAGGGACCGAGATCTTCACAGGCCCCACGTACTCCACGTACGTGCCGGGAAAGTCGCCCTTCTGCTTGGTCCGCTCGTTGACGCCCAGGATCCACCCAATTTGATTGGGGGTCTGCTCATCCCCATCTTTGAAGCCCAAGGCTTGCAGGGCCCCCTTGCTCACCACCAGGATGTCCCCAGGCAGCAGATCAATGTCCTCCTCGCGCTCCTTGCGGTAGGGGTAGAGCGCACGGTACTGGAATCCATCGGTGCTGCCCATTCTCTCTGCCGTGGGGAGAAGGGCTCTGAACGGCGAGGCAGCGTGTTTCGGGCAGGAAAGGAGGGATCTCAGAGGCAGCTCTCCCCCATCAGCACTCTGAACGTCTCTGCATGAACCAGCACCTCAGGAGCCTGGTCCGGGTGCCCCGGCACGCTTAGGTGCAGCCCCTTTTCCGTAGCTTGAAACCACGATTCAACCAAATTATGGAGCAAAGGGAGAAGGAGACAAACATAATCCAGCACTCGTGAGCGGGCATGCAGCAAAGAAACAGGAGATCAGGATCTGCTTCACCAAAAAAGAAGCAGGCTTCTTGGAGTCCAGGGGGCAAAAGCACAGGAGGCTTCCAGCCCAGCACGGTGTCGCACGCTACGTCTCCCTTCCCAGTGCCTGCAAAGAGAAGATGACTTGTCACTGCGCAGCCAGGCACCCCACGCCCTCCCGAGATGCAAACATTCAAACTAGGGGTTCAACTGAGCAGCTGAGAGAGGCAGGACTCGTTTCTCTTCTACCTACCAGCTGATGCCGAGCCCTGGATCCAACCAGGACATGCTAATACCAATTTACACTCCCAAAAGCAAGAGAGGAGCCAGGGGCTGCGGGCAGGCATGTCCTCTCTGCTACAGTCAGGCACCAGCTCTGCATCTTAAAGAGGTTCACTCCTGCTTCTTCAGCTTACCCTCCTCGAAGCACTTATGCAAACAAGAAGACAACAAATGGGACAAAACAGCCTTTATGCAGGAACTTTTGCATACAGAAAAGGGTGACCCTGCAACCACCAGCTGGAGGCCTTGAATAGGAGCAAAACAAACAGATTTAACCTTTCCTTGTTAAATCGATTAAATTTCACAGTTCACCTTTACATCTCCCCATGCAATCCCCCACAAAGTCGTTTTCTGAAGGCAGATGCCCACAAATGTAGGTTAACCAAGCTTTCAGCAAAAGGCTTTCGAGGTGCTTTGCCATTCCCACAGAGCAGCACTTCAAAGCTTTGCTCTGAGCAAAGTAGATTTTTGAACTTTTCAAAAGCAGCAACAGCATCAAGTGCGGGCATGGGTTCTTTTTGCCGAGATGGAGGTGAGAGGAGTGAAAATAATCTTTAGAAGCCTTCAAGTCTGCTTAAGAGCTGCTAACTGCCTTTCAGCTATTCAGCGAGAAATTGAAGAATATGCTGCCTGCCCTGCCCAGAAATCCACCAAAAAGAACAAACCTGGGTTATAACATGTTGTTGAAGGGATGTACGAGCTGGGACATTCCCACCAGTTGAGCACGTCCTCTTTTCCCATCCCCTCCCGGCTGCATGGGCCAGTTTTCCACCTCCCCCAGGCAAATCCCAGCGCTCCCATTCCTGCAGCCACGGCATGCGACCAAGGACCAGACCTACGAGGCACCGGGGCAGCCAGAAACCAGCCTTCCCAGGGACACCCTAGGCCTGCTGGAACGCTGCGGGTCCTATGAACAGCTTGAGTCGTTTTGGCCCAGAAACCGCCAAACCCAGCTCAAACTCTCGAGTCTCATCTGAAAACTATTAGCGAGCAGGAAGGCGCTTCTCAGGGCTGCAGGAGCCTCTGCGGAGGGAGGCGTGGAGGCAAAGGGAGCCAGGGCACCCTTCCCAGCAGGGTCAACGCACAACCAAGCGCGGCACGAAGCCAAGGCCGCTCTGACCGCTGGTTGGACCCTGCGAGAGGCACTAACGTTGGTGACCTGCAGTATTTCAAAATAACCCTTCCGGGCCAGCACCACATCACAGTTCATATCAGCTACAAAACCTTCTTTCCTCCTGCACACGCTACCGCCCCTGCACGCCACCAGAAAGCCTGAGCTCGGTGTGAGTCCCCTTTGAGAGAAGGCAGCTTCACCTCCCCGCAGCCAGGCTCTCCAGCCCAGCACCACGCTGCGGGCTCCTTCCCTCAGCAAAGGAGAAAGGCAAAAAGAGGCCGTGGCACACGAAACCTGTGCAGCAGCCAGGACCTGCGCTGGTTGCCTGAGTTTGGGCAAGCGTCCCAGCTGGGTTGTCTTGGCCAAGAATGAGCAGGCACTGCCCTCGGGGAGGAAAGGCACTTGCGGCCAGGCTCTGGCTCTCTGGGGAACAGGATTGAGCCTGATCCGGGGCGCTGGAGCGCTTCTCCGCAGCTCCAGGAGCAACATCAGGCTGCAGGACTCACGGAGAGACCCTGGGGAGAGCGGGTGTTTGCGGGAGAAGCAGCACATCCCAGCACAGCCGCTGTGCAAGCTCCCACCACGCCAGGAAGGCTGCCGCAGGGAACTCGCAGCAAAGCCCGCATTTCCCCAGTTCAACCAGCCGCGGCCAGGAAAATATTACTTCATAATCCAGAGCATAAAGAGAGATTTATGACCAGGCTCACTGCCTGCCCCTCGCCCCTCCGAACGCTGCCTGTCAGGGTCCCACGGAGGCGAGTCGGCAGCGCCGGGGGGCACCGTCTGACTGCCGGGGGCCCAAGTGGCTGCTGCCTGCTGGGAAAGACGCCGGCAGCTCCTGCTCCTCCCTGGACAGACCCCGTAACGCACCCAGAGGCAGTAAAGCCCAAACCCAGCGGGGTCGATGTTCCCCTCCAGCTCCTACCCGCAGATCCCAGCCCCGACTCCAGGCGCCTCAGACAAGCCGGTGCAGCCGAAGAGGCTAGAAGGACAAAACGCTCAGCCCTGGCAAACTTGTCGAGTAGCTTTTAAAAGCAGACCTGCGTGGAGGGGTGGGAAGAGGAGAAAGTTGCTCTGGAGCACCGAGTCTCTCCAAAGAGCAGGTCCCGCAGCTTCTGCTGCGCCGTGTGGCTCGACCGACTCCTTCCAACCTTCTTCTCTGTGGTGGGAAAGCAGAGATGCAGCTCTGTGCCACCCTGCTCTCCACCTCCCTCCCAGCAGGTCACTGGGCACATGAAAAAACACAGATAACTTAAGAGCCAGCCTGGTCCTGGAGCAGCCTCACCTGCCTTCCCCACGCTCAGCCCGTACGGGGATCAAGTGCCCGCGAATGGGGACGAGAAGCCCACCGGGAAACCCAAATCCACATGGTTAACGCCGACGCTGTCCTCTCCAGGGGAAACGCTTGTCCTCTGTCCT